GTTAGATTTACTACAATGATAACCCCACTCCTGGTACAAAGTTTCTGTATTATTTAATTTTGGTATCCTTATGACAAAAGCAACTTATGGAAAGAAAGGTTTCTTTTGGCTCACAGTTTGAGGGTACAGTACATCATGGCAGGGAAGGCATGACCGCAAGAGCATGAGGCAGCTGATGGGACATCCACATTCAGGAAGGAAGATATAAATGCTCTACTTTTCTTTCAGAACACATTCTGTGTATGCTCGTGTGTGTGTGTGTGTGTGTGTGTGTGTGTGTGTGTGTGTGTGTATGAGTGTTTTGGTCACTGTTTTGTTGCTATGAGGAGACACCATGATCAAGGCAACTATTATAAGAGAAAGCGTTTAATTGGGGACTTGTTTATAGTTTCAGAGGCTTAGTCCATTATCATCCTGGCAGGAAGCATGGAAACAAGTAGGTGTGGTGCTGGAGAAGTAGCTGAGATCTATAGGAGAGAGAGAGAGAGAGAGAGAGAGAGAGAGAGAGAGAGAGAGAGAGAGAGAGAGAGACTCTCTCTGGGCTTAATGAAACCCCACTCCGCAGTGACACACTTTCCTCTAACAAGGCCATGCCTTCTAATCCTATCAAAGAGTCTCAATGCCTGATGACTAAGCATTCAAATATGGGAGCGTGTGTAGAGTGTGGGTGGATACCTGTTCTGGCAAGCATACGGTGGTCAGAGGGCAATTGTGGGTGTTGGTCCTCAGTTCCCACCTTGTTGAGATAGGGCCTCCTGTTACTTGCTGCTCCATATACCAGGCTTGGTAACCTGAATGCTTGTGAGGATTCTTGTTTCTCTACCTCCCACTCATTGTTGGGACACTGGGGTCACAGATGTGCCTGACAATGTCCAGGATTACATGGGTTCTGGGATACAAATTCATATCCTGGTGCTTACACGGTAAATGCTTTTTACAAACCATTGAGCCATATCTCTAACCCAGAAACACCATCCTGACTTAAAGAATGATTAGTGAGGAAACATTGCCGATCCTGTGTTTTTGGTGAAGTTGACGTTTTTCTTATCAATAAATGAAGGGAACTGTCACTTCCAGGAAAACAGCTGATTTTATCTGTTGCTTAATGATAAAATGAGCTTTTACATTAAACAGAATTTTGGCAAAAGCCTGTCCTGCTTCTGGATACCTAGGCAGTGTTGATGAGAACACTGGTGGAATCGGCATGGCATTTGATGCCGTATAATAAAATGTGCAGGCACATAGAATGATTTGATGAGCCATTTTTAAATGACCAAACTGTGACGGTACAAATCCACACCTGGATTTAAGGATCAAAGCGTAAGACCAAAGACTTTAAATAAATATTTAATTTTTTTAAAACACTTAATGAACATTTAGATGTTTTTATTTGACATATATGAATGCTTTGCCTTCATGTATGTCTGTGTACCATGTGGGCACAGTGCTCAAGGAGGCCAGTTTAAGGTGTCAGATCTTCTGGAACTGGAGTTACAGACAGCTGTTAGCTACTGTGTGGGAGCTGGGAACTGAACTCAGGTCCTCTGGGGCCTCTGGGAAATCAGCAGGTGCTCTAGATTGTTAACGCATCTCTCCAGCCCCAGTAGATTTAGGTTTAATCATTTCTGTCTGTGTGTATGTGCACATAAATTCAGATGATCACAGACGTCAGAGGAGAGCATCAGATCCCGGAGGTGGAGTTACAAGGTTGTTGTGAGCCGTCCAACATTAACTAGTGTTTAGAGATGTGATTGAGGGGGTACATAAAAATTAAATTTTTGGCACTAATCCACGAGCCACCCACAGTATTGTTGACACCTTGGGGCATTTGTTCCACTTTCAATCGTCACTGTTTTTGCAATTAAAATGTCTGCACAGGAGCTGCCCCTGCCACTGTGTACATCCAAGCACATTACAAACTAGCAGGGGAGTGGGTGTTTTGGATTTAAGGAGCATATGGTGACATGCTGAGGACACTACCCAACCGCTAGTGTCCAGTGGAGGTGCCTGACGAGAGAGTCCTGAGAGCCCAGTGGGAAATAAATGAAATTAAAAGTCATATTTCAGGTACTGGATGTCGTTCAATCGGTAGCATGCTCACACAAAGCTCTGTGTTCTAGCCTCAGCCCCACTTTAAGCAGTATGGTGGTGAACACCTTTAATCCCAGCATCCAAGAGGCAGAGACAGGAGAATCAGAAGTCCAAGGCTGTTCTGAGCTACATAGTAAGTACCCAACTCCTGGGTACCAACTTCCACATCTGTCTTCAATATTTAAGACCCTGTCCCAAAAACAAAGAAAAGAAAAAAGAGAGAAAAAAATGCATTTCTGCAAAACATTCACTGTGTTTTCAGAACTTTCCTTTATACTCTTTCTTCCTAAGGGAGAAAATTATTTTTTCTGTTGTTGTTTTGTTTTTTGAGACAGGATTTCCCTGTGTAGCCCTGGCTGTCCTGGAACTCACTCTGTAGACCAGGCTGGCCTCGAACTCAGAAATCTGCCTGCCTCTGCCTCCCAAGTGCTGGGATTAAAGGCGTGCGCCACCACCGCCTGGCAAAAATGATTTTTAAAAATGCTTTGAATTTTGCAAATTCTTGGTGGTGTTATCATAGAGAAGAGAGGAAGAGGGAAACGAAGAAGAGAGAGAGCTGAGAACTCTTCTTTTTGTATCTTCTAGGTTCGTCCCAAAATATGCATAGTTTTTACAAAAATAGGGACACAGTCTATTTTTGTTTAAGTGCGTATGTTTTGCTGGGAATTAAGCCAAGGGTCTTTTATAAGATAGCAAATGTTCTTCTATTGAACTACATCCCCAGTCTAAATAGGACCACACTTGACAGATTCTCTTGTAATTCCTACTTTTTTCATTTCTCAGTGAACTAGACACCTTCATCATCTGAGCACAGATCCTTTCCAGTATCTCTTCCAATACTATTTGTATATAACTACAATTTATTTTATTCACAATTATCAAAAGATCTAGATTGTTTCCAATGTTTTACAAATACGAATGGAAATATGATTTAAATTCTCTTTTAAAAAGAATTGTATGGTATTCATAAAACATGAATATGATATTCATGAAATACGTGCATGCATGCATTCACAAATGTGCCAGTGTACATGTAGAAGTCAGGGACCATTCATGGGAGTTGATTCTCTTCTTCCACTATGTGGACCAGGGATGTAATTCAAGTCGTCAGACTTATTGGCAAATATCTTCACCCTCTGACCCACCTTTCCATCCTGTTTTTGTTGTTGGTGGTGCTTTATTTTTTGAGACAGAGTCTACATGGCCCTGGCTGTCCTGGAACTCACTGTGTCATCCAGGATGGCATCAAATCCACAGAGATTCAACTGTGTCTGCTCCTGAGAGCTGGGAGTAAAGCCAGGCACACCACAGCAGGCCCCAGCCCTGGCTTTGAGATTGGTCTTCAACTCCATATCCCAGGCTAGCCTGGAACTCACTGCATAGCAGCTCAGGTTGGTATCACACAGCAATAATAACCCTGCCTCGGCCTCCCAAGTGCTGCGATGACAGGGTTATTGCACTCAAACTGGAATCATTTCTTTTCTATGCGAGGGGCAGTCTCCCATCGCCCAGATTGGCCTTCACCTAATCCTGTTGTTCTACTTCTGAGTGCTGGGATAACTCCTGTCCCTTTCCTTCCTAGCCCCCATGCCCCAGAAGTTTTGTGTATACTTTATGCAGTGTTAAAATTATCATCAGCGACAAGTTCTTAAGATTTTATGTGCTCCAGTGTTACGCCTATATGTACGGCTATGCACCATATACATGCAGTGTTCATAGACGTGGTCAAAACTGAAATAAAATCATACTGAGCATGGTACCGTTCGCCTGTTAGGGGACATTTCATGAGTCCAGCCATCTCAGGAACAAGTTCCATCTTGTTCCCAGGCCCCAGAACCAACTCTTATCCTGCGTCTTCGTGTTTCATGTCTGTGTGTTAACCAGTAAAGGATGTAAAAAAGGTAGGTTGCCATTATTCTGTTATCTAACTAAGGCACACAAATAATAAGTGTATTTCCTGTCATGATTTAAAGTGACTACGTGCTGTTTGCCCACTCCCTTGTTCCCTTATCATTCTAAATTCCAGGTCAGAGTCCAGGAGGGGACCTGACTGCAAAAGCTGACTCAGGACCTTGAAACCAGGTGACCAGGATAAGGCCCAGTCACTAATGTTAACTTCCTTAACTCCTTGTGTCAAAATATGATTGGTCAATGCCTCTCCCCACCCCTTACACACACACACACACACACACACTTTTGTGGGCCCATCCTACAAAAAACGCTGTACAGTCTCCCCTCGGGGACGAGGTTCAGAACTAGCTGCCCCATACAGAAAATAAAGCTTTCATTTTTACGCTTCTGTATCTGAAGTTGAGTTTGCTTAGCTTCCTCCCCTTCCCCCGAAACGAACACTGAAACACGAAAATCATTCGTTGAAGCCAGCTTAGGCTTGGTGACAAGACCCTGTCTCAAAACCAACAACGTGGGCTTATTTGTGCCAGTGCTTCCAAAAACAACTGTAGAGCCGAGAGGTTAAGGAAAATGGTGGTGGAGTGGTTTGTGTGTCTGGGTGGGTGTAATACAGGGTCTCACTTTGTAGCCTTGGCTGGGCTGTCATTATGTCCTCCAATTCCCAGGGATCTGCCTACTTCTACTTCCCGACTAGCTTGGATTAAAGGAGTGCACTACCACGCCCAGAAACGTGTGTGTTTCCAACGTGGTTGAGATTAAGGTTGATATTTGCTTTAACGTACATATTTTGTTGTTGAAAGTTTTAATCAGTTACTCGTCAAATTTCCAAGTCCAAGTTTTTAACAGCACAGAAAGATGAAAGCTCACAACCATATCTGAGACGACACCACAACCCAGGAAAAAAAACGGTCCCTACCCAACTAACAATGCGTAGGCTTCCCAGAGTTCCTAGCAGCGCGGCTCAGAGGCTTATGGGAATTGTAGTCCTAAAACTCGCGTCACTGCTCCGAGGACTCTGGGAACTGCCGCCCTCTCCACAAGCTGCACGCTTGCGCAAAAGCGCTAGCGGTCGCCCTTCCCCCACCTGCAGTCGCGAGTGGGTGACAGAGCCCCCTTCTCCGCGAGCCTCGTGACCCGGAACCGCGAGTGGAGGCTAAACCCCTCCAGGTATGTCTGCAAGGCCCGGATGCGCGGGCCCCGGAGGAGGGTCGCGTCTGCGCCGGGGTGGGAGCCCCAACTTCGGCGCCCTGCGGACCGCGACGACCCCCTGGGCGTAGAGTCGGGCCTCGAGCTCTTCTGAGAGTCAGTTCCTATAGGGTGCTCCCGGTCGGCGCGTGTCGGGTCGGTGGAGGACGGGCAGCTCCCGGGTTCCAGCCTCCCTTTGTCAGGAGACGCGCCACTGCTGGCCGTCGCGGGGGTCAGGCCGCGGGAGAGCGAGTCCGGAAGCCTGGCGGCCGCGCGCTTGACCCTCCACGAGAGTGTGAGGGCGGGGCCCAGTCGGCTAGCCACGCCCCCACGACGGCTTAGTGGGCTCCTGGGACCTCCTTGGTTCACGGTGTCTGTTGTTTCCAGATGTACTGTCACGGAAATGTCACGTCTATCCCGTTACTTCGATTTGAGCATCAGTATGAACAGATTTTCATTTTTTTCTAATACTGGCTTTTCTAGGTAGCTTGGGTACACCTGGAGCTTGCCATGTAGCCTAGGCTGGCCTCGAATTCGAAATCTGTACATGCCCAGCTTTACCTCTTATTTTCCTGATTAGAGTTGTGCTTTTTATTTATTTCTTAAAGTTTTCATACAAGTATATTGCCGAGGTCCAGCCTCAGTGTGAGGATGGTCCTCAGAAAGGGGTGAGTGGTAGATTCAATAATATCTGAGTCAGTAGTGGATGCAAGCTGTCAGTTCATGTGTTCTCTCGTTGCTCGATCTGGTCAAAGAAACTCAACCCAGCCTTTTATTTACTAAAGTTACAAAGTTACATTCATTAGATCTTTTTACCACTGTTAATCAATTTCTAAAAAAAAATATATATATCCGTGGTTACATAAATTTCAATAATCCCCGAATCATTACCCCCAAGCCCCGATTCTTTGAAATAAAAACTAAACACAGAGCAAAAAAAAGTACATTTCCTTATCACTTAAACACAGTGTGCTTTTCACGGGCAGCAGGGCACACAGCTCTTAGATTTCTTATATTTCCTTATTGCTTGAACACAGTCTGTTCTTCACTCACGAGCAGCTGGGCATAGCTTTTGCAGTTTCCTGGTACAGTGGACAGTCACTACAGTGGCTGTTTTCATATGATACCAGAAAGAAGACAAACTACTGAGGTTAAAATGACTTCTTACAAAGTTTTAAATTTTTCTGCAAGTAAAGTAGCTAGCCCTCTCCAGTCTCTCTCTCGAGGCCTTGTCCTCTCCAATCCTTCAAGTAGCAAGGAGAATGAGGCACTCAACTTCTTATATGCTTGCATATCATCTTTTAATTCTCTAATCTTTCTTTCCTTATCCTAGCTAGCAATTCCATGGCCTCATGTTCAAGCTTGACAATCTCTCCATAAACAGTTAATTCACTAGCCTTCTCCATTAAGTCAAACTCTCACTCTAATACTATTTGCTTCTGAATCGTACACAAGCCTTCTACTATAAGATAAACCCATCTGTCATTTGCTTGGTTTTTTTTTTACAGATCCCTCCTTTTTCTATCCATACCTTTTTTTCTTGAGACACTTTAACTCTCTATCCGTGATGTCCCCAAGTTCACCCTGGCTAATTAATGCAGCAGTCATTGGACCAGAGGGTACATGTGTCTCCTCATATAATTCCAAGTTTAAGGCCAAGTCACGTAATGAGTGGCTTTTACAAAGGACCATCTAGGTTTTTATGGCCTCTGTAGTTATGTTGTCTAGATCCTTTCCCATGGCCCTAAGGTTCAAGCAGAAGGCCTGTTTGTCCCTCATCTCCCACAGCCCCATGGCCACTCCCATCTCTACAAACCATAACTGTTTCATTTATTATGGAGTGATTAGCTCTGAGTAATGGGGGAGGTATATTCCCCAGAAAGAAATTGAAAGTAAAATAAAGAGACAGCAGCAGTCAGCTTCAGGGCAACCACCACAAGCATCAGCACACGGGATCCAAAACCTGGTGATGACCCAGAGGCAGGAACTCTGTCACGCTGTCCCTTACACAATATATATCATACTGTTGCCTCTGCCTAACCCTCTCCTCCTGCTAGTCCCTTTGTCTTCCTAGTTTCACTTCTATACATGATTTTATGCATCTATATAGAAATCTAGGAACCACAAGCCAGAGAAAACATGTTTCTTTTTGAGAGTAATTTGTTTAATATGATGATATCCAGTTGCATCCCTTTTCCTGCAAATGACATAACTTCATTCTTCTTTATAGCTGGAAAAAAAATCCATTGTGGGGTTAGCAAGAAGGCTCCGTGTGTAAAGGCATGTCCAGCCAATATTGAAAATCTGAGTTTGAGCCCTTTATAAGTAGGAGGAGAGAACTGGAGGACTGACTCCTGAAAGTTGTTCTCTGACCTCCATGTGTACATGTGCACACATGCACATGAAGAAGTTAAGAATTCCATTGTGTCTGCCATGTTTTCTTTATCCACTCTTCCGATGTTACACACCTTGGTTCCATAGTTTAGCTGTTTGTAAATAATGCTGGGGAGAAAAAAAAAAACAACCAAAAAACCATTCATGTGTAAGTGTCTCTGTGATACGAGGAACCTTTAGGTAAAAAATCTAGGAGTAGTGTAACCAAATCGTATGGAAGATCTATCACTAGTCTCTGGAGAAACCTCTATACTGCCTTCCATAGTGGCTGGACTAGTGCATTCCCACCGGCAGCGGGTGGTTCCACTTGTCTACGTTCTTGCCAGTATTTCCTAGTTTTGTTTGTTTGTTTTTAACGACTGCTGTTCTCACTAGGGTGGAGTGACATCTCAGTGTAGTTTTGATTTGTGTATCTATGATGGCCTGTGAGGTTGAACATTTTTCCATTGGCCGTTTGTATTTTATCTTTTAAGAACCACTTGTTTTGGTCAGAGTTATGGTGGGAAGCAGGGATCTTGCCTCAGAGACTGGTCTGTCATGACAGATAATATTTTCAGTATTCTATCCAGTTCAGCTGTCCAAGTTGCCCACTTGGTGGCCTTCTCTGCCCAGGTATTTTCCCTTGCTAGTGAAAGAGCTGTCTTTTTAGTGATCTTAACAAGTAACTTAATAGCATCAGTGCTTGTAGCCTGAAAATGTCAGATTCTTAGTTTTATGGGGGAGCTTTTGGCCATTAGTAACCTTTCTTTCCAGATCTACACATGGGTGTGTAGCAGCAAAGACCCACACTTGGTAAATACTTACTTGCTCAAGTTGTAGACATTCAATCAGGGCAGGTGAGATAGACGTGCCCCAGGGCCTGTGAGATCAGGTGGTTGCAGTGGCACTTCCTGTGTCGTGGTCTTCTCAGTTCCTCCTTCCACATTCTGCTTTTTCTGTCCCAAGGAGAAAGGTAGCATAACTTAAGATTGGCAGGTTTTTAGGGTGAGGTCAGGAGTGTCATAGCTGGGTGTGATGCTGTTAGTCTTCTGTTGCTTAGCCAGCAGTATTCCTTTATCTTTGGGGGACTGTCGGGCATACGCTTTGAATCTTCACCCTTAAGCAAGAAAAACTGGATCAGGTGGTTCTTAGGTCTTTGGAGTTGGTTTCTGGGAGGGATGTGGAAGAGTTTGGAACATTGGGTTAGAAAACCCCTAAGATGCTGTAACTAGAACATAGTGGGCCATTTTGGTGGGAGTTAAGACCATAACACCAAGAAAAATGTAAGGAGCTGGAGAGATGGCTCAGCTGTTCAGAGTGTTTCCAGCCTTTGCTGAGGATACAGTTCAGTTACTAGCAACCATGTTGGGTGACTCACAACCACCTATGGCCCCAGCTCCAGGGAGTCCAGCACTCTCTTCTGGCCTCTTCAGGCACCCACACATAGATGGCATAGACACTCACACACATATACAAAAATAAAAATAAATCTTAGAGAGAGAGGGAGAGAAACACAGATTGTGAAGGCAGCTAGCTACTGAGGTTTCAGAGAGAGAGCCAAGAACTTCTCTGAACTGGGGCTAGAGGCCATTCATATCCTATTCTGGTGGAGAACTGGGCTGCTTTCTGTCGATCTCCTAAGAATTTGAGTGAGGCTGAATTCAACAATGATGGACTGATCTGTGTGGTGGACATCGAAGACAAGATGGGGGCAGAAAAGGGGGATTAGTGATGAAGACACGCTGCTCTTCCAGGGGACCTGGGTTCAATAATACTGTCTTCTAAAGGTTACTGCTCACTGCTCTTATTCTAGAGTACTGTGAGAGACAGGAGAGGGAGAGGGGGGGGAGGGCAAGAGAGAGCGCATAAAGCTGTGTGGTTTGGTGGGGAAGGGAGGGAGTTAAAAGTTATAGGCTGCGAGGCAGATGTGAGAAGACAGCTGCAATTGTTACAGACTAGCATCCTCTAAAGGAGAGCTGCTCTGCACTCAGACAAAAGGAAAGATGCTCTGGGACAAAGTCCCTCCCTAAATTTGTAACAAAGCACATTCACTTAAAAGGAGAAAGCCTAAATTGAAGAGGCCCTTAAAGGTGTCCTCTGTTTGAAAACCGCCACCTGGGGAGGTGTTTCCTCCAGGTAAGCTTGGAGAGCAGACAGGCTAACGCAAGAATGGCCCAAGGGGACCAAGTTACATCTCCAGATGGAAGCGAGTTTTGGCATCATGGTATAGGTAGTAGATGCAAGGGTTCAAGGAGGCTCATGCCAAGTTTGTAGAAAGCTGCTGAGGCCAAGCAGAGTGGCCACTCTGGGGAGCGGTGAAGGTTGTTGGGTCCAAAGGAAACTCCCAACTCCTCAGACTCTATAAGATCGTCCAAATAGCCAAAAATGAGCTCAGCCTGGACTATAGGAGGATTTCTATAGTCCAGTTAGATAAAAGTCAATATTTCTCAGAAACTTGTGAAACTAGTTCCCATCTGCCAAAAGTAATTTCTCCTCCCTATGGCAAAAGGGACATATGGCTACCTGTGGCACCTGTCAGCTTATCAAAGCCCTTGGTGGCCTCCAGGCCCCCTCAGAATCTATAACAAGTTCCTGTTATATGCTGCACA